CTAGTGGTTTCTGTTGTCTACACAATAAGTTTTAGACTAATTAATTGCATCCTCTATAACAGTCAAAAATGCAGCTTTTGAAACAATGACTGCAAAAAGATTAGAATAATTTTTGTTATTCTTCGAAGTACATTCTGAACACATTCCTAAGTAGCTAAGCCAAAACACAGATATATTTTTTTAAAAAAGCAAATAAAAAAATGGACTAGGATAGGTTTCTCCTCTGTTATGAGGACAAAAAGCTGTAAGACATTCTGTGCAAGCATGCAGTGTGAGTATTGAACAAAAGAAAAAAACTGAGCATGAAAGAAAATTCCAGCTTCCTGAGAAACCCCTCTGCTACATCTAGTTCATTGTTTAATAAATATATCTGTTCAATTCCACAAAGCTTTACTGTACAAGCAGGCTGGTAAGAGCTTTAGGTCTTACACAAGCAATTTCTAAGACAATAAAACTCAAGGATGCCAACAAAAGTTGAGCAGTAGAGACTGAAGTATCAGCCTTCGAACAAGAGGGTTTTTTTAAAAAGAGTTAAAAAGTTATTTTCATGTGCATGAAAGCCTTTATTTTATATTTCCTCTAGAAATTAATTCAGTATAGAAACTCTACTTAACATGACTTGACAAGCACAACCTAGCAATTTGATCAGGAAACATGGTGCTCCCTGGTTTTGTGCATACATCCACTACTTTCTAGGAAATGGTTTCCCGAAAGTGTAATAGGGCCAGAAAAAGGCTGAGAGCGGCCAAAAAAGGAACTCAGCAGATGAGGCAGGAAAACTTGCCGATCAGTACTGGTAATAATAACAAGAGGATATGTTTCATTTCCAGCCCTGGGTTACAAATGCCAATCAACACAAGCCAGGACTTATAAGTGCAATCCAACAGTTTGGCAGACAGGCAAGTAATCAAGCTTCACTTGTCTGGAACACAAGTTTGGTTTTTCCAGGTTATAAAGCAGTTCTCTTCCTTGCCATACAAGAACCTTCTGACTTTATAAGGCAGGTCAACAATCAAGTACAAGACCTTCAGCAATTTCCCCAGAACCATTATGTCTTAGGCTACCATGTAGAAGAACGTAAAGCTCACACAAAATCACAGTATCACTTGATTTCACATCTATTTATTGCAAGTGATTGATTCAATCAGGACTTGTACTGATGCTAGACCATCAATTGGGAAACTGTTTCACTACCATTTCAGATAAAATTACATGACCTCTAAGTGTCTGGCTTTCCTACCTATAAAATGACAATAAAATTTGATCACTTTTACAGAAGCGTTTTTAATGCCTTCAGAAGAAAGTCAAAGCCTAAAGGGCAAATTAGTACTATTCATCCTAAAATGCTAATACATAGCTTTTCTTGTCAATGCTTCTATTATCCAATGGGAAAAACATTTTTGAGCATCTCTAAAAATACAAAAGGACTTTTTGTCAAATTTCCTTTACAGGGAGCACTGACAGCTCTCAGTGCAGTAAGCCAAGCCTGATTTTTGCACTACATCTGCAATATCTTTTATACTGGGGCAGCTGGCACAGAGTGAGAAAATTCATTAACATGCTAATGATGTGTCCTATTTAAAATTCCAGTTCTGATTATTGTGTGATTAAGTCTCTTCCCTTGACGTCTGCTTCCTTATATCTGCATTACTGTGAGAAATCAACAATTATTAGTGAAGTAAAAAGTAGGTGACCAATTTATACACAAGAGAAAGACAAACATACGCACATATTTTAGCATTTAATTTTTTTTTATTTAATGCTTTCCATACAAAGGAGTAGTATCTTCAGTTCAAAAAAAAAAGTTTTGAAGAAGCTCACAGGCACAAAACATAACAATTCAAACTGTAGATGATGTAGAAATAGACATGTACAGGAATACCCAGGCAGAGGTGCCATATAAAAAGAGAGAGGGCTCCTGAGGCAGGGAAAGTATAGGATTACACCCTGGAAACAATTCATAAGCAAGACTGAAGAGATAACAGCTCTAGTTGATCTGATTACCTTTACTAAAGAAAATAAAGCATCCCCTTTCTAAAGCGAAGGACTTCTAAACCCACTGACTTAGTTAAACTGGGATAAGCCTTTAAAGATCAAAATCATAGAAAGACTTGGGTTGGAAGGGACCTCAAAGGCCATCTAGTTCCAACCCCCCTTTCACTTGACCAGGTTGCTCAAAGCCCTGTCCTATTTGGCCTAGAACACTCCCAGGGATGGGGCACCCACAGCTTCTCTGGGCAACCTCTTCCAGTGCCTCACCGCCCCCACAATAAAGAATGTCTTCCTAAAAGCTAATCTAAGTCTACCCTCCTTCAGTGTGAAGTCATTCCCCCTTGCCTGATCACTCCATAAAGATCAAGAGACCTCTTTCCCCATATCGCTTTCATTGGACTATGTTTAGTTTATGGACAGACACTTATTTCATAGCAAAGCTAAAGCATTGCACAAGTCTGCCACAAGAAGGAATCACAGGCACATCCCTACTGCACACCAGGACACAGATCAGCCAGCCTAGCCCTGATCATTTTTGCTGTTTCAGTTAGAGAGCCCTTCAGGCCAAGCTAATAAATGCTGAGCAGACAGATATTAACAAAAACAGAGAGGACATTAACATCTTCAGCTAGTACAATTAGATGGAGAAAGGATTTCTCTCTCTGGTTTGTAGCTTTAAGAAGTCAAACTAACCAAGAATGGGCAGCACCAGCAGTGACACAACTCACACTAATTTTACTCACAGCACAGAGCAACTGAACCTGTGGTGCCCTACTAGCTCAAGGAACAAGCATCATAGGAGCCATTTTCCTGCCATGCTATACTCTCCCAAAATTCACACTGTCACCAAAACCAATGGGTCAACACCCCTTGCCATCACAAGTCCCACAGACCTGCTGAACCCCTTGTGCTGATGCTGGTGCTTCCACCACACAGTAGTGGGCCACACGGACATTCTAATGCCTAGCTCACATCAGGTTTCTTGTCTACACTGACCTGGTGTACGGGCTGGGGCAGGAACACAAGGAAAAGGCAAAACTGCCTTCCTCCACAGCAACACAGATTTTACTGGCATAAACAAAACACCAAGGCTGAGGCTGTGAAGTAAGTCAGCTCAGCTACCCCAACTCAAATCCCACCTTTCACAGTGCAGACAAAGTCAACACACTTACCTCCAGTTCTTTTAAACACCAAAAACAAATGGTAGAAAAATTGTATTCCAACTCTTTACGCTTTATTCTCTAAACATAAAAGTGCTGAATAACACTGATTTCATAAGGGTGCATGCCATCTTCAAGACACCAACTGCATACTGGTTTCCACAGCGCATGAGAAGGCTCATATTCCGTTAAATGCGATGGTATCAAACTCATGCTAGTGTTCTCAAACCTAAGTGAGTTTCCATTTGTTAAAGAAGAAAATTGTGTAGATCACAGGTAAAGGGGGCAGGAACAAGAAGAAAGGAATATTTCATGTTTCAATTTATGTATCTATGACTAGTATCTGCTTGACAGAGTTTTATTTTACACAAGGATAAATTTCTCCTTATGCCTACAGAGTCACAATAAATTAAAACAACAATCCCCATAGCAAACATTCAGTATTTTGAAATTTATTTTCTTAAATTGTGGGATAGTGTATCAGATCAAGAAGACATCTCCTTACTGCTACATAAATGCAACAGGGAAAGAAAAGAGTCTGAACTGCTACAAATTCTGTTGCTTCAGCAAAAGTCTTGTACAGGCTTTATTTAAAACCCTGCTGAAGAAAAATACAAATGAGAAGTAAATGTGAATTATAGGAAGTTTAATTGTCCCAGGAACAAAAGAGAAACAAAATGGACTGATTAGAAGGTTAGAACCCTTTTCAACTCTTCTGCAAATCCAAGTAAAGAGAAAGCATTGCCTGATGTGCATTTGTGGGTTTATATCACAATGCACTAAATTTGAGGAATAGTTTTTAAAATTTTTATCTAGATTTTAAAAAGGCAAATTCTTATGTAGTAGTGTGTATACATATAAAGTTCTATTCATTTTTAAAACAGTCTTAGATGTATCCAGTTGCCTACAAATATTTTTGTTTCTAAGATAGCTCTGCTTATCCACTTGGTACGAAGAAATACTAACCGTAAGATCTGGAAATAGTACTCGTAAGATCCTGGAAAAAAAAAGACATTTCAAACCCCTAGAGCTTTAAAGTAACTCAGAATTATACTTATACCTATGGAAGTAACTATAGTAACTGTACATTTGCAGGCAGTCAAATGTTACTCAGTCTTTTCATTTAAGCAAGCAGCAAGGCCATCTATCTGCTTAACTTCAGGAAAGAGTACAGCAGACAAGAGGGTAAGCAAAGGCTAGGAATGACCTCGCTATTTGCTCATTTGTCAATAACTTGCCCAGTAATTGCAGACAACCTCCCCATTTCCACCATGACACTACAACCCAAGCATACTGCTTACAGTTATAGGAGAGCAGCATTTTGCAAGCTGTTTAAACCCTCTCTCAAACTTAAATTTGCTATGAGAACTCTTGCTTTCAGAATCAGGCATCCCTTCCACTTCATATGTTCAGATCCACCCCCAAATATGGTATATATGTACACAAGAAACATTTAGTTGTATATAGTAAACATGTTCCTTTTGTCACAGCTGGCTACACCTATTGCTTCCGCATCAAAGACTACATGTTCCTCTGTATGTGAATGCATGCACAGTACCATCATCGCTATGATAAAAACGGTTTAGAAAAGAAAGGTTTTGAGAACTAGGCTAAGAGAGATTTCAAAAAGTTGTATATCACTGTAATATCCCTTCTCCCACAAGCCTCCCTCAACTCCAGTGGAAACAGTTGAGAAGACATTGAGAATACTGCTTATCTAGGTCCCGGCCAAACTCTCCTCAGGACATTCAGTATGTTTTGTAAAATGCAGAATGATTCATCAAACCCAGCACACTTCCAGGAGTTCTGGACTGAGTAAAAAGCTGTAACAGCCTGTGAACTACTTACCAAAGGCAGTCTCTCCTTGCTCAAGTTCTTGCTTCAGTCTGGTGTAATCATCTTTAATTCTCTCTAACTTTCGGACATTTTTGCCACTCAGAACCAACAGTTCATTGAGTAGTCCTTCCAGTCCCTCCTTCTCAGATGCTAATGACCTTATTTCTTCTGCAAGATCCTTCGCAGTGCCAAAATTACTTCCTGCATGTTTTGAGGGGGCAGGGGGAAGAAAGAGGAAAAAGACAATGAAGCAGACACTTGCAACATCAGTAGGTTACATAGCAATCCCAGGAAATTAGGCAATTATACTTCCCAAAAGCAATTGAAAGATGAATTTTGGGGGAACAAAAGAAAACCAAAAGGCAAATCTGCTTTGCAAGCATCCATTCCTTTAATATTACGAAAAAAAATAATTGTTGTAACTGATTTGACCTTATACACACAGAAATAGTATTGTCTTTAATTATTGATACAATTTATATTTTTGCAGGAAACCTGTTCCTAAGGGTTCATACTTCAGAAACGCCAAACTGCAATTCATTGGTCATTGTGGTGTGATCTCTGAGACCATTTTCTTCTTTTGGAGTACACCTCAATTCACAGTACTTTTTAAACAAAGGCTGTCAACCTGCTAGACCTCAAAGTACCACCACCAGCAGCTGCCAAGAGGGGTTCCATTCCTCCACAGTGCAGGAGTGAATGGAAGCACTTTCAGTGAATAACTACAATCATTCTCCCGGAGGAAACATGCTGTTGCAAACTCAAGTGGCCATATGAGGGCAGGTGAGCCAAAGAGAGGCTGTACTTTCCAAAATTTTGGAAAATACTGTATCAGATAACTCAGGTTTAAAGACTGAACATTGCTAAGTATGATAGTCTTGTTTTGTGTTTGGTTTCTTGAGGTTTTTTTTTTTAGTCTCAAGATTATGGTAGTTTCAGTCGACCTCTTCCTCACTTTTTTCTTTTTAAGAGGTCAAAAGTCCATTATTTCTAATTCTCAGCTAAAACCCTGTTTACCAGTTCCGTCTAACAAAGAATTAGACAATTAAATAACTAAAAATATGCTTTACAAATAGTAGGATCTTACAGGTTACCAGTGCATTTGCTGGGAAACAACAGAACAAATTTTATTATCTTAATCTGTCATGTCTCCAAATAGGCAAAACAAAGCAGCAAGATAAGCAAGACAAAAATCACTAGAAAAATGGCAGATATTCAGACACTTCTAAGGCAACAAGACATAAGTCCAGCTTTATTCACCTGAACTCACCCCAAGCATCAAAGCACAGGAGTATTAATAATACATGAAGGCAAGAGAATCTTCATTAGAATCTGGAGCCTGCCCTTGCATTTCAGTAGACAGCAAGGAAAAAGGTATGATATTGCATATGAAAGTTTTATACAAGCTGAATGGATCTTAATTCCCAGAGGAGAAGTTTATATCAGAACTGAGGCTATAAGGAAATGGCTTCAGATACACGCCCAAAAGCCAACAACCCCCCCACATGATGCAGCTTCCCATGACAACAGAAATGCCTGAAAGTTTACAGTGAAAATTCATAAGACCATACAAAAACCTTGTGCAGCACAAGTACCATCAGTGAGTTCTGACCTCAATCACAGCAACCAAAGTAACTGCTTTCTAAATGCCATAAGAAGGTTGATTAAAAAATTAATATACAATCCATAGCTGCCAGCATGAAAAAACATGCCCTCCTGGGGTTGTTTTTTGAGGTAAAGTCACATTGGATGCCACAGAAACATTCTGAAGACATATGTCAAGATATTTTATTCTGTTAATACCATGAAAATGTTAAAATTCCTCTTTTCAATGATAAAATAATTATTTTGTGTAAGTGAACACAGTAACTGTTACTCTGTCAACCACTCAAAGCTATATTTTATACAGCCATACCAGAGAAAGAGTTCTGATTGGGTGATATAAGTCAGACCAAACTCTTCCCAGGAAACTCAAAAATCACTGAAGCTAATTGGACTGGTCTCTCAGAAAATCTGTACAGAGACAACAAAGCTAAGGAATTAATAGTCTGAGACCAATGCTGAGATTCTGGACTAAACGAACACATGAGACAGGGATTCTATGAAGGGGACTGAAGAACAAAATGTCACTTTTGCCATCTTTCCTCCTGTCTTGCAGTGACACTTACTAGAAATGTGCAATTTTAGCCACTGAATATATGTTCATATAAACATACTGGGCGCAAACTACTGCAGCAAATTTGAAGTATCCAGTACTCTGAACAGGTAGAATAACATGCTTGCAGTACACTGTCATAAGGAACTGAGTATGTACACTTCACTTTGAGGGACTGAACATTATCACCATCTCAAAGCAACAAAAACAGTTAAAAATTCCTCCTTAATCTTGCCCTCTGGGGCTCCCTCCTTGCATGCATCCTTCATAACCCACTCTCTACAGATAGTGACATCAGGTAAGCTCCAGCGGCTTGATGCGAATGCCAAAAATACCAGCCAAATCAAGCAAAACAACCCACACTGGAAAAACAGTAATGAAAAAAAAATCACCAGGCAGAAAGCAGCTATATAATTGCCTTTACATACTGTAAACATTAATATATTTACATTATTTCCTCTTTTCCTAAGATTCTACTTGTATGACTACAGCTAAATTTGTACTCTGCACATCAAATATATTTTATATATATATAGTTACAGGCCACAAACTCATGCCCATTATAACAGCCCATGGTCAGATTTTTCTATATTGGGCATACTGTTGTCCATTTAGTAGCCTCGAAGTAAAATATCATTATTCTGATACCATTTGCCAGCAACAAATTGACTAAAAATATGGTTTGAAATCTGTCCCATTTTATAAAAAACAACAAATGTGTTATTAATTAAACTTTATTAAATACTGCCCCCTTCAAAATATAAGACAAAGTTAATGGCCCACAAATTTTTTATTCACATTTTTTCTCACATTTATGGCAGAAATTCCATACACTCACAGTTACCATTATTTATACTTGAAGCAGAGAGATAAGTCCCATCCTTATGAAACTATAGCACGGACAAGGGAGCTATTTTTGCATTAATAGTAAAGTATACCTATTGCACGCTGGCTTGAATTTAAGAAATAATAGACTGGTCAATCTTTACCATTATCTATAAATTAATTCTTCATAGAATAACACCACTACCTTTAATAATTCATAAGAAAGTTTACATTTTAGCTTAGGGCATTTGCCAGCATAGTATTTATCAGTAGCACTGGAATTCAAGGCTGAAAATCCTTCACCCTCTGACTAATGAGAATACAAAGTGATTCCAACACCAGAAGAGAAATTGAAGAAAATAAATATCATTCACCTACCCACAAAGAAAAAAGCTTTACACATGACAGAAATGTAAGATTCTGGAATCACTGCCAGTGTGTTTGCACCTCTGAAAAAATAAACAGCAAATGAGGGACGGTCTACCATCTCTTGAAACATTTTACACTATTCCAGCATATTTGAATTACAATTATTGCTTTTAAGCAATAACATGTGCCAACGCTTTTACAAAGCATAACGCAAGTGAATGATTGATGTGATCCTGAAAGCTAACTGTCATCTAGAAACAGGCGAGAGACCCCACAGACATGCATTTGGAGGAGTAATTCTCAAGTAATTCCCAGCCATAGAGAGCCTCCTGTACCTGGACTGAATCAATCACCATAGAGCAACCCAGAAAAAAAAAAGGAGGGGCGTGGGGGAGAGAGGGTAAGTAAACCCAAAAGTAATAACATTTCAAATCAGTAATAACAACTCAAAGGCTCAAGTGAACATTATAAATAAGAAAAGGCAAAAATACGCTGAAGTAAAAGGCAGAAGTTTGGAAGATGGCAATTCAGCAATACTGAGACCCAACCTGTGCCAAAGCCTCTCCTAAACCCATGCTGGCTGGGTCTGATCCCTTGTCCATCCTGTAGGTGCTGTGTGATTGTGCTGAGGATGATCTGTTACATAACCTTGCCAGGCACTGAGGTCAGGCTGACGGGCCTGTAGTTTCCCGGGTCTTCCTTCCGGACCTTTTTGTGGATTGGTGTGACATTTGCCAACTTCCAATCATCTGGCACCTCCTCAGTGAGCCAGGACTGTTGGTAGATGAT